CAGTCTGTAACTTCTTAATCTAGGGTTCTCTCAATCAAAACCATAAGAAAAGACAACATTGGGTGATGTCAGAAGTAGCATGGGATCATGGGAGTTGTTGTCTTCACCACCATTACCGAAAGCTCCTTCTGGTTTGGATTCCTTCAGTGTCAGTGGTTCAAGAAATCAAACCATTAAAAACACTGAATAAAACAGTTTTGATTGTTTCTCTGTTAATTTATGAACCAAACGTTGAGCAGGTTTTTACCAGCAGCTGAATTATCCACAAAGGTGTCCACCTCTCCATTACAAACAAATACAGATCCAAATCAAGGCAAAAATGCTCTAAAAATAACTTTCAAAAAACCAGTAATTTACCAACACTTGTCAGCGGACACATAACGTCAAGTAGTAGCTGGAAACGGAGACTGCTTACCTTTGATTCTTTAATAAAATATGAACCAGATGTTCCAAAGTTTTTACCTGCAGCCGAATAATTCCCAATGAGCTCCTGCTCAGGGAGACCAGGGGATTAAAACAAGTAAAAGAATAAAGCAGTCTCACTTTTTTTTTCAAAAATCTGTGATTTGCAGATGTTCTCCAGTGGACACAGAATAGGAAGTCTCCAGCAGCTGGGAGCTGAGCTGTCTAACATTACTCAGCTTTTTTCTCAGATAATTTCAGATCCAGACGTCCAATGACTACAATCCTTCACCTGGTTCAAATATATGGTGGTGTAGAAAGTGTATGTGGCTTAAAACTAGATAAAAGTCAATGTTGAGCTTCTGGCAGGAAACTACAACACCTACCCATGCATAGGGGATATGATGTCATTGACAGTCGCCCAAATGAGCGTCATCATATTAAAATTACATTTTTCTCTAGGTTTCAGAATAACTGGAAAAATTTGGGAAAATGTAATAACAACAAAAAAAAACACAGACATTTTAATATGGGAAAGTTACATATTATAACTTTAAGTGCTAATTACAGTAGCAAGTGTTAGCATGCAAAACTATGATGATGAACAAGGTAACATTAGCATGTTAGTGTAGGGAGCATGTTGCTGTTCAGCTCAAAGCTAAATGCTAAAGATGAACAGTGTGTTGTAATGATTTCGCAACTTTATAACAACCTCAGTTTCTAAGTTATTATGTGCTTGTTTAACATGAATAAACAGCCACTCAGATAACGGTAAGTGCTGAGTGGTCAAACCTACAGGAGTATCAGATGACCACATGAAGGTTAAATATAGGAGCAGACACAGGTTTAGCTCACTTTTAAAACTCTGTCCAATCTTATGTTTCTGTATATCTTCACTGGACAATGTTATTTCTCACCTGATAAATTCATTTCCATTCCTAATGTCCATTTTTTTTTACATAATAAACTTTTATTTCTATGCCACGAGGAGGTGATTCTAGTTATTACTTACTAGCGATGATCCTGTTGCAGCCAGACTCTGAAGCTTGTCCACTTGCATGAAGCACATTGGTTTGAACTTGTTGTATAACACTTCCGTTGTCACATGACTCAAACTTAACTTAACCACTAGGGTGGGTGGAGAGGATTGTGAACACATCCATAACCCACAAGATAAAATGAACATGGAGGAAGCAGTTGAGCTTTTGATGGATGTGGTAGGACAGACCCACTTGACTATCAGGTCGTCCCTTGGACAAGTTCTGTGATAACTGCACTCTCCTTAATGACTGCTCTAATTTCTTCGAATCACTAGATGTCGCTATGTTTTCTCTCATCAAAGCTTCAACTGTTTTTCTGACCCAATCAGGAGGAAGCCTTGTGGGGCTTCGTCTGCTCAGCCATGAAATGACTTAAGAACAATTACTGAACTCAATTTTCTGAAGACCTGGAAACCTGTTAACTTTATCATAGATTTTTGGTAGATTTAATTTTTAGTTGGAAATTGTTTAACCTGGTTCATCAAATTTAATTCAGCCACTGCATTGCATTGATTTCATAACTACAGTCCACAGATGTTCAAGTTTAAAGAACCCAGTCAGTCACATGTTAGCCTGGATTAGTTAACATGTGTTTGAAGGTACAGCTGAGCGTTTCCATTAAACATCACAACCTTTCTGTTTTATAACATTAGTGAGCGTGTGGTTGTTTTTATTTTGATCTGTCTTGTTGCTTGTTCCAAAGGAAAGTGGAAGTGAATCTGATTTAATGGCTTTCATTTCAGGCCTGGAGGCATCTGACAGGGTGTGTGGATGTTTCTCAGATAACATGCTCTGCTACAGAATGCCACTGAGCAAGTCTTATAAATGTGTTAACCCCTTCACCACCTGGCTGCCCTTTATATTCACACATCAACAACACCTCCATTACATTTCACAGACAGACTGTCGCTCACTTTATCAGTAATCATAAGTTCTGTATGTAACTGTTAAACCTGGAGTTTCCTCTCCTTCAGGGTGAGATGCTACCTGGAGTTGTATCTAAATGCAGTCTGACTCACTGGATGTAGACTGAAGGTGTACTCCTGCCACTGGCCGCCTATTTCAGGCGGTGTTCTCCTTGCTTCCCGCTTCTGATGCCTATTACCATTTTCAAAATTCCCTTTGCTAAGTGGAAACAACAACACCCTCCGAGCTGCAGCCTTCACACTTGCAATCACACAGTCGACAAACATCTTTACTGTTTTTGTGGCGTTTTCTTTGCGGGGAATCAGCTGTTTTAATGATGGTGCTTCCCCATGTGCAAATGTTCCACTAGGGGTGGGCGATACCACAACATTTCTTTTCGATCTGATACGAAGTAATACAGAGCCAGAATCACAGATATTGGTGCTTTTTATTATTAAAAGTGGCTTATGTATCATCATGTAGGGGAGAGCAGTGTCATGATTTATGAGGCATATGCATCATCAAAATGCTAAATCTTAATACATTTGAATAAGCACTAAAGGATTTGTCAAAGGTTAACAAACATTTTAAGGATGTTAGAAATAATACCTGCTACCTGTGAGGCCTGGATTTGACTCCCAACTGAAGCATGTGTGCAGCAAAAAGTGGTTTCATTTATTCAACACTTTGTAAAAAAAGTGCTGCATGAATGACAATACTATTTTCTCAAGGTACTTTTGGTATTTTTGTGAGAGAGACAGGAAAGGGAGAGAGGGGATCACATCCAGAAAACAGCAGGGGCTGGATCCTACCAGGTAAGGAATGAAATTGAACAGCACATGCTCGACCAGGTGAACCAGAGAAGGCGCTCCATTGTTGCTTAAATGTGTCGGAGTGGTGCGATGTGCTGTGCTGCGCATTGGTTCATGTACACACGAAATGAGAAGCAAAGTGTGGGATGAACTGTGGGACATTGTTTGCTCAGACAGTTCCACTGAAATGAGTCCAACATTGAAGAGAGAAACTGAAACTGGTATGGATCGTATTGATGCTAGAATCAATGTTCAAAAACAAGACGTAGAATTGAAAGTATCAATATTTAGTCAGATCTGATATACTATAGTGGCTTTAACAGTCTTGAAATACCCAATTCTATTTCTATTTAATCGACCTAGAGCAAATTTACACCTTACTCATATTCATTATACATGACAACTAAACTGACTGCTGGAGAATTCTAATAATGCAAAATAGAGACACATGTCATTCAACAGGTCAGTGAACCCTGCATGTGCCAGGTATAAAGTAAATGTGGGGAAATTAGCTTTCTTTCCAGGTGCGTACGAGAAGAACAAATAAAACATTCTCCCTCTTACAAATTAAAAGTTGAATTCACAAGAAATTAACCTCAGTTCAGTCAGATGTTTTGCTGCTACAGTGTTATTTGGTCTTGCCTGGTCATTGTGACTAATGTTAGCGAACTGTATGACTCCTTTCCACTTGTGCTACTGTGATGCTACAGTTTTCAGGCTTACAAGCAGCATCCTACAGGGCTGCAGTTCCCCTAATGAACACTAGAATCTGGCTGCAACAGAGAGTCAATCCCCATAGACTCCCATGTTAAAATGTCCAACTTCACAGCAGAAATAAACGTGTTTACAGCCTGGCACAAAAACAGTTTTGGTCTCTATAGCTAATTTCCTCCTCCATGACAACCACACAGGGGGTGAATTTTTAGGGTTTAGGGTGAGCATGCTTGCCACAAACCAACAGTGTCTCGGCCCCACACACACCTCACCTCTTTGTCCATTTTTGGATTAGCTGGGAGTTAGGGGTAGACTCAGACACAGCTAAGATGGTGACAGTGGAGTAGCTCACTCTCAGCCTCAAAACCGCTCTTCAGAAACCTGTGGGTGATGTCATGGAGGCTACATCCATCTTTATTTTCAGTCTATGTCTGCATTGTCACTTTAAGTAGAGAGACTGAGTCAGGACGTGGTTAGCCTAGCTTAGCAAAAAGAATGGACACAGGGCTAGCCTGGCTCTAGCCACACCTCTAATGACTGAGTCCTGACTTCAGTTGTATTTCATCAAACTACCAAAAACTATGACGTGATTTTTTTCTACTAAACCACTTGATGCATGCAGACACTTTGTAATTTACCTAAAAGCATTACAATTACATGTGATGTTATGTCAGTGAAACAATATGACAATAAAAACAAAGGAAATTAAGATGACCGTCCTCTGAGTGCTGATGGTGGTTAAAGGCTAGATTTGAAATTAATTTAACCAGATTAACCAAATTAACCAGACTGAATCTAGTCCAGTGCTTCTGACACCATCAAAAAAGCTCACACTGTTTTAAATGCATTAATTAAAACAAACTGGGGCTCAACATCTGGGATCCTTAACACACTGATGATAATAACAAACAAACAGCCTGTATCTCATTTCTTTAATTTGTACACAGTGTGACGGACCCGGCCCGACCCGGCTCTAAGGCCGTGACAACAGACACAAATGTACGAACAAAAACTTGTTCTGGAACTATTTCACTAAATCATCTTGTTGGAGATGATTATTAAAGCTCTTGAAAGGTGTGTGTATATCACCTGCATCTGCTCACTCCTCTCTCTGTCCCTTTCCCAGGATTCCCTGTGTTCTCCTCAGCTCATTATGGAGGATGAGGGGCTGAGCCGGCTCGCCCAGACTGTACAGGTGTTGGTTGACCTGGCTGACGGCTCCCAGAGGGCCCCCAAACAGGAAACGTCTGGGGCTCCTGGCGTAACACAATGCTAGTTCTACGTAGCCGCATCTGCAAAGATTTAACAGCATCACACCAAAGAGATCCATTTCAGGGCTAGAGTTTGTATTTAAAATGCTTCATATTTGAATTATTCCATTGACTCTTCCAAACATCAGATACATGGTTATGGTTCAAATAAATCTGTGAATGACACCAGAGTCCTCTTGTGTCTTTTTAATGTCTTCCAGTGTATGTCTGTGTATTAGTGCAGAGCTCGAGTTAGGATATGGGTAGCTTAGCTTAGCATAAAGACCGAAAACAGTTTTTTAATCTGTAACTGAATTGTAAAAATGACCATTTGTGTTTTTAGGGAGAGTTACCTAAATGAGCTATTTCTTGACTCGCAATATTGAATCCGTCCACCAACTAGTTCTGCACAGGTTCTTTGGTTGTAGCACAGGTGTCCTGATGTAGTTAGTAACCTCAGGTTTTGGTCTCTGTGTGAGGTCTGATAAATGTCTACAAATGATGTCACTTGAGTCAGTGTCAGTCTGAAAGCTACAAGTTTGAAAAGTAAAAAAACAACCACGGGGGTGTGCAGTGGCGATCCTAGACTCTGGGACTCCAGGCAAAGAACCCTGCCCCTCCATGCAGACTATAGGCAGATGCTACAATCTACGGATGTCCCCTGAATGCCTTAAATGCAGGCAATTGGTACACACCATCAGAGCACAGCACACATCAGTAGGGGCCCCATTTAGGGGGCTTTTGGGACAGCAGAAGTGCACTGTATCTAATCTTTAGGTTTAGGAGGTTTAAGGGGGTTATAATTTGTCAATGCAAAATGTCCCAATATTAGATTATATTATCAATATTAGATATTTATCCCCTAGGGGAAATTCCATGTGTCCATTAGCTCATTGTTGATAATAATACTAATACTAATATTAATACTAATACTAATACTACTACTACTACTACTAATAATAATAATAATAATAAAAACAGCTGATAATAAACAATAATAATTAGATTAGTCCACTTCTTTGGCTGAGGTGTTGTATAGCCTGATGGCAGTGGGAACAAAGGATCTCCTGAACCTCTCTGTTCTGCAGCGCAGTGAGATGAGACGTTTGCTGCAGCTGTAGCTGCCACTCTGTCCTGCCAGAATGGAGAGGATGGTTGGTATTGTCTAAGATGGCCTCCATCTCTCCACAACAGTCCTGAGTGAGTCCAGACTCCTGCCAAGCACAGACCCAGCCTTTTTGACCAGCTTATCCAGTCTCTTTGTGTTCGCACAGCCTCTATTAGGGGTATTAGGGGCCAATAAGGGGTTCCTTTTCCTCTTGGGAGCCTCAAACATTTGCCTGGTTTCTCTCGCGCCTTTGAGTTTACCAAGCCTTTAGCATAACTCAATCTCTGGCAGGAAGTTGCGTTGTGGGTAATGTATGAGCCAGGTTTTAACGAGGAAGAATAATGTGTTGGATAAAAAAGACGATCTCTCTGGTTCTGCATGAGGGAGCTCTGAATGAATCCAGGCAGCTATGCTGATTCTGCTGAGATGCCTCAAGGAGGATCTCATTAATGGGGATTAATGAACATGGATCTTAGGGGTGGCTGTGGCTCAGAAAGTAGAGTTGGTTGTCCACTAATTAGAAGGTTGGTGGTTCAATCCCCGGCTCCTCTAGTCTGTGTGTCAAAGTGTCCTTGGGCAAGATACTGAACCCCACCTTGCCCCTGATTGCTGTTCCATCAGTGTGTGATTGTGATGTATAAATGAGTGAGTGAATGTGGCAAGTATTGTAAAGTGCTTTGAGTGGTCAGTAAGACCAGAAAGGTGCAAGTTCATTTGCCATTTAGTAAATCAACAACATGAAATAAGGAGGAAGGTGGGTTGGTGGAGGCAAACTGCAAATGGTTAGAGCCATTCCAACTAATACAAGTGGCAACACTAAGAGCACACTGACAAGAAAACGACACAACAGCAAAATAAGGAAACGTCAATGAAAAGGTGCCACAATTCTACTTTTAGCAGCATTTAAAATAGCAGGCATTATCAGCAAAGCAAACAAAGAGGCAATCGAGTGACAGGTGATCATCTTTGGACATGGACGTGGTGTGGAGTGAGATTCAGGTTTATTTTGGAAATGCAGGAACCAGCTGTGAAAGAGTCAACCTGTGTCACTGTCAGTGCTGCCAAAGCAGCAAAATGCCTTAATTAGACAGGGTGATGAGCTGAACTGTTAAGCGCCTGTTCCAGTCACCACTGCAGCACTGCAGCACTGAATGGATTCAGTTGTGGGTGTCCTCTTTGGGCACTTATAACAACACTGACAGTAAAGGTTTAATTCATGGCGCGAAACACTCATTTGACCAAAAGGAGTAAACACCTGTTGCAAGGCTGTTGCAAAGTGCTGCTCAGTGTTAAACAAACCTTTCAATGCTTTTTTTTAACACACTCTAGGATTCATGCTGTGAACCAGGTGACTGATAGTTGAACTGGTGGAACCAGCTCATGAGCTGCTTTCCCATTTTAACCTTTAACAAACAGAACCAGCTCTTTTACCGGTGGCTTCACTCAAATGACAAAGAAACACATTTTACTAATTTTACTCTTCTGGCATCAGCCTTGCAGGTAGTTTTTGGATTTATCTCTCAAGGTTTTTGAGATGATTTATAAAAATCTTAAATGAGTTAAAAAGGATATGGACAGAAAGAAATCTGATGAAAATTGATTTACTACACCTCCATATTGCGTTACTGGATTTATGAATCAGGTTTATGAAGGTTCATCCTCCACAGACATCTGATAGACCATTACCACTGGAGAGAGTGAGTTACACTTATTGAAGGAATGTTTAATGATGATGTTACATGTTCATTAGCAAATAATGTCTTTGTATTCAGTTACATTTCATTTCATTTATTCTGGGCATTTAATTTGTGACTTTTTTCTAATCTTAAAACAAACAAACAGACAAAAACTAAGCAATTTATCAGTTAACATCTCAACAACATAAACAACCGCAGGATCCCAGAGTTTACAAAATTTTCTCTAACTGCAAAAACTGCATTAGATATTTGATTCTGGGACTGTGTGGGTTGTAGAGCTGCAGCTCATCTAGTCTATAATATGCCCTCTGGGCAGAGCAGAGGCTACAGTGACTCTGTATTGGAAAGTGGCGAGACTGGCCGGGGTTAGCTGGTTAGCATGCTAACTTTAGTAGAAGAAAATAAGTGACTGAAATAGCAGCATATATATCTTTAAGCATAATGCACAGCTGAGGATATAAAGCCAAAGCCAAAGCATATAATGCCAACAACTCTTTACCTACTACACCATTGGGAGTAAAACAAGAGTCAACACTGGCATTGCTTTCCACCACTGGAAACATAGAATGAGGTTGCAATGTTTCTTCCAGACTGGTGAATAAACAGCTGCTAATGCTAACACATTGCTATGTAGTAATAGCTCCATTAAGAAGAAGTAGTCGTCTAGCAAAATTAATATTTTGGAAGATTAACTACATCAGCAACTTGGATGGGTTCAGAGGGACCTTTGAGAGGCAGGTTCGAAAAGTGTGGATGAGGAGCCCATTTTTATTTTTGCAACTGACAACTTTAAAATATTTAGATCAAGCTTAATTAGTCATTTCTGTTTTCTTATTCATTGTTGTCATTTCAAACTCCCACATTCTTGTCTCAACACTTATTCTTGATTTTAAAAATAATAGAAAATTTTTAAGAACGTTTTATTTGAAAAATAGAATATAATAATAATTATAAATAGTCTTGATACCTACAAATAGTCCTGTAAGCACTATTTTCGGACAGGAATGTTGTTTTTCAATTTAAAATGTGACAACATCCATTGTAATGCAGTGGAGGCAAAAATCTCAAGACAGATATTTCAAAACCTGGACAAATAAAACTATCTACATAGATAGATTCTACTAAATAAATGTGTTTCTTTTACTTCTTCTTCTGTTATTTGGGTGTACTGACTCTTAAAATGTTTTGTGATTCATAAATTATCCAGTTCAGGGCAGTGGACCAGCAGGGACTGAGCACCTGTTTGAAGCCAGACGTCTCAGCATCTGTCCAAATAATCTTTTATTGGCAACAAATCTACCAAAATGCTCAGATGCTGTAGGTATTGTGGTCATTCTGTGCTGTGTGACAGTAAAAATCTTGCTAACTTCACCTTTAATTGCTGAACCCAGAGATGGACGCAATTGAATTATCCAGCATACAGCTTGAAACAAGGGCCCTGCTGTTCCTGTATTTGTGTCTATGCATCAGCACATGAAGCTCTCCATCACACCTCCTCCCCATTAAGGCCAAGAAGGGGAGAGCTGCTTTCACTTTATTAATCAGCTCTGGCTTTAATCATGAGTCAGTTAGCAGCATGGCCTAATTGACTATCATTTTAATTGCTCTATCACGCTCTGACTTGGAGGACCATCTGCTGCTGGCTCTCCATCTCACTTCTCGATAAGACACACACTTAATGAATGCTCACACTTGTGCATGGAAATAGTGGCGGTCAGATTCCTCTCACGTCTGTGCGGATGGCCTCGTGAGGCCTATTGCTAACAGAGGCAGGGACTGAAGAGGCAGCCTGACATTTATGGGATGTAATTGAAGATGGGTATGATCCCCCATGCTCCAACATGGATGGATATCAGCCAGCAGCAGATTTGCTGTGTTGCTTCATCAGCTTGTGGTGATACGAGGCTGAGAGGAAGTGAAGAAGGTGACTGTTAAATGGGGAAGCTAGTGATAAAACAGCAGCTCTTTGAGGTTCTGAGTCTGTTACTACTTGGTCTGTGAGTCAGCGTGCTGTGAGGCACGACCACAGGTTTCAGTCACATTTGTCTCTCTCTCGCTCTGAAAATAAACTGCTTAACAATGTATGGATTCAAGTTGTTTTCATAATCCAAAGATTAAAACTATTATTATTAAGTATTGTAAATTATTTGACACTTAGAAAAAAGAAAAAAAATAATATTAATAAGTGAATCTCAGGAAGAGAAAAAGGTCACAGCTAGCTGCTAGCACTACTGCAACTGTTTAAAAAGGTACTGTTTTTGAATGTTTGTTTAATGATTATTAAATTATAATAAAAAACAAAGAATACAAACAGAATTTTGGAATTTTGTGCATGTGTTTTTTTATAATGGTATTTTCTTGAGGCTAAGAATGCATATTTA